CCATATTTTTGAATTTTGATCTGAAACTTTGCCCACATAAACACCTCAACTAGACTAGTTTTCATAAAAAATTTCAGAACTTTTGGACAAAGTCTCTCCGAGATATGAAGCTTTCAAAAAATGCATGCTCTATACGCTATCTATGGAAAACGGCTTATACGTTGAAAGCTTCATATCTCGGAGAGACTTTGTCCAAAAGTTCTGAAATTTTTTATGCAAACAAGTCTAGCTGAGATGTTTATGTGGGCAAAGTTTCAGATCAAAATTCAAAAATATGACCTTGCTGCAAATGTGGGGTCTTCTGGAAAAATTCACTAAAACCTCGATATCTCACTAGGAACAAGCTATGGGCACGAACTTTTTTTACGGTAGACATAGTTCATCAAGACCTACAAGATGCGCAAAGTCCCGACTCAAAAGCGTTCCAACATCTGGGAATGTTCCCTCGTTAGTTAAAAACAAGGCTGCAAAATAACAACGTTCACTAGATATTGAAAAGGCATTAGTGCTCCTGAACGAGCGAAATAATATGTTACGCTACACTGATTATACTTCTAAATGCTCGTGTTCACTATCGGTCGGTGTAGATGCTATGAAATAAATGAAGTTTGATCAGTTTAAAGTTACAGCAAGCTAGAGATATGTCGATAGATAACTAATTTTGACATTCTGCATTCAGCCTATCTCTTCTCATTTGCTACTCGAGAATTTCAGTTTGCTTGTCTTTGTTAAGATAAGAAAGAAAAGAAGTACACGTTTGTCTCAACTTATATCTTATTTTGCTGTATTTCTCATGTCGACACAGCCCGTCTTCGGAAGCACCGTAGATTCGGGTATTAAAGCATATCTACAAAAAGCGAAAGCTAAAAAGGTCTGTCTCTATGCATTTTTCTATTTTATGGCCACAAGACTATATCTTATTTAGTATGTTTGGTTTGTGTTGGGTTTCTTGTTAGGCTTTTTCGTGGTACTCATACCCTGTCTCATCATCAGTAAAAGCAATGCGAAAGATTGCTCTCATACTACCACGCTTAATCCAACCAGCACACCTAAATCAACCAGCACACTTATCACAACCAGCACACTCAACCCAACCAGCACATCTAGCGCCTCGCCTGGACCTCCAGGATGGAATGCTAGTGATTATCTATCAAACAGTGACTATTATCTTAACTTGACAATTGATCATCCTTTCAGTCAAGAAGACAATCTTCGTTTGGATCGTCTTTCATCACCACGCTTTTCTCCAGATGGTAGCAGTAATGCTATGTATTTGCGACGACAATATCATATGCCCGATTGCAATGGATCGTCAACAACATTGCATTGGGTCGATTTGAGAAATCCTTTGAACGACATAGTTGTGCAACTGACGCGACCAATTTGGGGAGTTCATGATCAGCAAGTACACGAAAAGAAAACTAATGAGTAGTTCAGATTAAATTGTCGGTCTTGGCGAACTATATTTTGATCAATCGTTGAACCTTATTTTAATACAAAGTGCAGCATCGGATAAAGCAAGCAAAGTTCTACATTTTCAAATAGCAAACCAATTTTATATAGGTCCTTTCTTTTGGAATTGAAAATTTCGAAAGTATAATGTGATCAAAAAGTAGCATTGCTCACTATTCTATTTTGTTTTTGTACAAATCGTACGACCATTTCGTTTTCTTGTTACAACGATCTATTTCTAATTATTTCTCAATGTATACGTCGAGCGATAGCATTACAAATGTGAGTGACAATAACGGAATGAAATGTCCCGTCAACGAATATATATAGGTTATTACAATCAGAAGCGCTTGTCTGTCATCATTTCCTGTCGGTGCAGTAAAAGAAGTGTTCATTGCATCATTATAACCATGAATGTTTAATTATACCAATATTGATACTTTATAGTGATATTGCGAGCACTAGAACACACAATGAGATAATATTCAAAGTGGAAACTACTTTTGGCCCATACTTAAGAAGTCTTATCTGGTTAAAGGTGAAAAATGTTGCATGCGAGATGTCGAAAATTAAAAATCCTTGTCTACTGTTTCGATCAATACAATAAAATACGAACATATGCACATAGCATATCAGTGAGAGTGAAGGCAAAGTCTGTGACCAAAAAGGATTTTGATTTTCGACATTTAGCTACCAAACCGTTTTAATCCAAAAGTAATAAAAATGCCTGATCATGTTGTCAATTGTCTTATTGAAAAAAATCCAATCATATCTCTGCAGACAAAGTTACTGGAAACATATTATTAATATCAACATGTTCAATGACTATATCTGTAACATAATTATTCAACATATGCATTGAGATATGATGAGAAAAGATTGGTTGTTGTAACAAGAAATTGAAACAGTCGTAAGATTTGTGCAAAAAAGGATCCTGAGCAGTGCTACTTTTTGATGACATCATATTTTCAAAATTTTCTATTCCAAAAGGACCTATATCAACTTGATTTTCGATATGAAAATGTAGAACTTTGTTTGCTTTATCTGAAGCTGCATTTTGCATTAGAATAAGATTCAATGATTGAACAAAATATAGTTAACCAAGACCGACAATTTAATCTGGATCACGCGTTATAGCATTCTATCCACAAGACTTCTTTAGTTCTTCTGGGTAAATAAAACAACGATTCTGTTTCTCTCTAATCGAGCACCATCTGGTCTTACTCAACTGTTTCAACTAAATCTACCGGACAATGTGACAACGATGACGGATTTCATTGAACCCATTCAAATCACTGATTATCCATTGAGCATTGATAATCTCTTGGTCAATCAGCAAGCATCTCGTCTAGCATTTAGCTGTCAAGTCTATGCTAATCTATCAATTCAAGAAACAGCAGCTCGACAGGCCACAGTCAAGGCTAGTGGTCAGCTCGTATATAAATTTGATAAGCTATTCATTCGTCATTGGGATGAATACATGACTGGACTACGTCACCATCCATTTGTTGTTTCTATTGCACGAGATGCCAAAGGAACGTTTCAATTTGTATCCACACCAACAGATGTTCTCTTTGGTGTTGATAGTGATTCACCGACACGCCCGTTTGGTGATGGCAAAAGTCAATGGTCGTTCAGTGCCAGTGGCAATTCATTTGCTTTTACTCGACAACATGATGAAACAAGTAATGTTGCTTGGTCGACTAATCTAGATATCTTCACTGTTAATTTGACTACACCCAATATACTGCCTTCATGTATCACGTGTGGGAATTTCGCTGCGGATACAGATCCGAAATACTCACCGACTGATGAAAATGTGCTGGTCTACCGATCACAAGCAGTTCCTAGCTACGAATCGGACCAATTCAAAGTCAAGTTGTTTAATGGTGAGTTTTGTTTTTCATGATGAATTCGATTAGCTTGTCTTCTAGGTTCGAATGTGAGAACTTTGCTCGATAATTGGGATCGAAGTATTCAGACTACAACATGGTCAAATAATGGGCATTCACTGTTTCTAGAATTGGGCGAAAACGCATATCATGTGATTTATAAACTTCGCAATGTACAGTCTCCTGATGCAGAACTTTCCGTTGTGGTGGGCTTTGTATCATCACACGATGTAAATCCTCATCCAGAGAACGATGAAATGTTTCTATATACTAGTCAAACTCTTACTGAACCGCTCAATATCTGGTTACAAGAATTTTCCACAGTTGATCGACCAATCACCGAACATAACAAAAACCTACTCGATAGGATGCATAGGAGCAATGCAGAGAGTTTTACGTTTATGGGCGCCAAGAATGAGAAAGTGTGGGGTTGGCATGTACCACCGACAAATGGCACCACTCAAAAAGCACCTCTGGCATTTCTTATTCACGGTGGTCCACAGAATAGTTGGTACAAAACATGGAGCTTTGGATGGAATTTTCAAGTGTTTGCTGCGCAAGGTTACGCAGTGATTGCCATCAATTTTCATGGATCGGATTCGTACGGACAAAACTTTACCGATAGTATCACCGGTCAATATGGTACACTACCCTATGAGGATCTTCAGTTGGGGCTCACCGCTGCTCTAGAAATGTACGAATATATTGATGGTAATCGAGCAGTAGCATTGGGTGCTAGTTATGGTGGTTTTATGATTAATTGGATCGCTGGACATCCAGAGATGAGTCAGCGTTTTAGAACACTTGTATGTCATGATGGTCTCTTTGATATGAGAGCAATGGCTTATTCGACTGAAGAATTGTGGTTCAGTGAACATGATGCAGGTGGTTTTACTCCATATGAAAATCCTGAAGCTTTTGAAAAATTCAATCCAGTCAATCATGTTGCGAATTGGACTAAACCAATGCTAATTATTCATGGTGGTCGTGATTATCGAGTGCCAGATACACAAGGTATAGGTGCATTTACAGCTTTGCAACGGCATGGTATTCCAAGTCGATTGCTCTATTTGCCAAATGAAAATCATTGGACACTGAATCCTCTTAATTCGGTGGTTTGGTATGAAGAAGTGTTGGACTGGATGCGTCGATGGACAAAATAGACGAATATGTAACTTTTGAACTTTTGCTATTTCAAACATTGTATTTCATTTTGTGATTTTTCATGTCTTTTGTTGAATAAACATAAAATAAAGACTAATTTGATCAGAAATTGTTTTGAGCGGGTGTAGATGTAGATAAATACTAAGAAAGGACGCACATCTACACCAAATTACACCCACAACGTGGTGAATTCGATAGCAGCGCAGATACTTGAGTAAAATTGATAAAGAACTCTTTCGATTACGAATGATCATTTTTATAAAAGCGACATTTTCTATTCTTAAAAATAAGCTCATCTTAAAGAGATTATGACGATTTATGATTTAGCAAATAATGTAATTATTCATCTATGTATATCTGAGTGTCTTAAAATATACAGACGTGTCTATTAAAGATGATCGAAAAGTTATTTTTGAACATAACTAATGAGATTATGGATATAATAAAGTGCCTTCTTCGCAAAATTTCAAATAAATTTATTTGAAGCTCTGAATTGCTTGGACTTCTATTATCTTGTGAGTCCTAAATATGAACTTTTTTTATCTCGTGTACAAGATTTGTCGTGCGCAACATTAGGGACTGGTAACAGATTGAATCTCTCAATCACGTCTGTCAAACAATGAAACATTGTGTTTATTTTACAGAATGCTCACTAGTGAAAATATCTGCACTTTTTTCGTTGGCAATCTCAAAAGAATGATTCTATTGCTCTCTTTCAAAACTAATCATGATAATTGAGATCAACATATGTTTCCTTCGAATCAAGTCAGTTCAATATAAACGAGAAGCTGGTCATTAACAACAATTTGAACAAACGGATCATTTGAAATGAGTAAAACTTAAAAAACTCTTTTGTGATAAGCAAAATAGATGAAAATCTTCCATTTAGTAATCAACAAAAAGAACAGACGAAGTTAGTTAATCATATCCGATCTATGATTCTAGACAGTGCTTACTCAAATTTTGAAACTAATCATTTTATTTAACTGAATTGATATTCTATTAAAGAAATAAAAAGTCAACTGCTGTATACTGATTATTCGTCGAATTAGTACCGATTACTATTTCGTGTTTTTTTAATATTTCCAATTTAGTATCTGCTCACTCTCTTCCTTAACACTTTCTCTTTCTGTTTGTATTGAAATCAAAATAAGAAGTTTCGCTTATTATATTATAGCAAAAAGTAACGCGTGATCTTAACATGGCATTAGTCATTGGTACAGGACAAGAACAAGTTGTTTCTCGCACATATATTCTCTTGTTTCATTTTAATATAACAAAACTCGATGTATTTGCATAATATACACTTAAGAGTCCATTTTCGTTCTCTCCGAGAAGCGCTGATAAGCGATCGATAAACAGACTATTTTATTGACTGTCAAACAGAAATGCTTTCAAGACTCGATAGGTATATTAACGTAAGAAAAAAAAACAAATCGTTACTATCAATAGTTGACTCAGCTGAATATTAACTTTGTGTTCTGTTTCTTTTTGGGAATGAGAAAAAAGAATCCATTGCTGACAGCCGACACGAACCTCTTTTCGATGCAAGTGAAATAAGTCGTTGATAATTGATATATAGAAGAGAAACAAAAATTGACAAATTTTTTATGACATTTTATATATCAGAAGCATTATATTGATTATTTCGCCACGAGAAGGAACTATTTCCAATAAGATTTTGTTATTTCGTATGTAAGTAACTTTTTATTTCTTTTGCGAAGAAAAGAATAATTGTAAAAATATTATTAACAAGTTTCTAATTTTTTATGAAACACAATTAAAAATGAGTGTTGAAGTTGTAGAACGAGAAAATTGGACTGCCTCCCCCCTTCCCACATCCTTCACATTTTAATCCCGTAGGGATTGTGTTGAAAGCTTGTCTACCCTAGTATGCATCAGATAATTGATTCCTTCTCTATAGATAAAATTCATTTGAATAAATATTATTTGTGATCTTAACGAAGAACAATTAAATGGAGATCTCAAACAATGAAGACACATCTCAGAGACAGAGCGATAATCGAATTGCAAAAAATGTCAATAAGGTAAGACAAATGGAATGTAATAGGATAGGCAATGATACGTTACGTTTTATGCTCGTAGTGGGTCCAGGAATACAATCGAAAATGTCCAACTTCAAAAAAGTAACTAGATATCAAAATATTCATCAACTGATGTGTAACAGATCACTGCTGTTCATTTCTACGTAGAATTTATGATTATGGCCAAATTCACTTCTCAGAAAATGATCGTACATCATGGGTATGTCCATTTTCATTTCAAAACACAATCTCTCGGTAAACGAAGTGCTCAAATGACACCGATTGTGATTGTTTATTAATACTTGCATTTTTATTAATTGAGTAACTATATCACTATCGTTTTATGTAGTATATTCGCTTTCCATTTGATGCTCCCGATGCATTAGGCAATAATCAATCAGCATCACCAACAAAACCAGAGATAGATCTTGTCGAATTGATGCGTGAAAAATGGGAACTACCTCTTCCTGAACTAATTATTTCTGTGACAGGTGGTGCGAAATTATTTAAATTAACACCACCTCGAGTACGCAAAGCTTTTCAGGAAGGTATTGTCTCAGCTGCCGTAACTACGGGTGAGTGAAAGAGGGAGAAAAAGCCATATAACTCTCTTGAATGTGTACAATTGTGATTTAGATGCGTGGGTATTCACTGGAGGATCATATTCGGGAATAATGAAAGAAATTGGTGATGCATTTGAAAAATCGACGTGTAAGGTGAACAAGAGGCATGTGCGGGTACCAGTCATTGCTATTGCAAGTTGGAATTTTACGACAGGTTATTTGCATGAATATTTCTAGTGATTACACACTATGTGTCTTCTATGATATATTAGACCATGAACAACTCATTCAACAATCATCACAAATAAATAATAATGGCAGTGTGCGTTCATTTTCCTTCGCTTATCCTTTTCTTCCAATGATAAATAATTATTTACTAGGAGGTGCAAGTAAACATATCTGATCAAGTAGCAGACTATGAAAGACTATATCGCATTCGTTTTCCAACTGAAGACGAATCCGAATCATATCCGCTGGATCCGAATCATACCCATTTTATTCTTCTTGATGATATGTGTGGTTCGGATGATGATCAATGGAGAACAAAGAACTATCTTGTTCGAGCAAATCTTGGTGTTCAACTAGGCTTCCGAATCATGCAAGAAGCTCGTCGTATTTGGAACCATGGAAAATGTAAATAAAATCCTGGTATCTGTTCTTTCTTGAATTCTACTTAATAGGCTACAAGATTCCAATCGTACAACTGTTGGTAGATGGTGGTCCATCATCTCTTTTGAGTGTTTGTGAAGCAGTCAGACATGGAACACCAGTAATTGTCATTCAGGTACATGCTATCAAAAGACAAAACAAGCTCACTGGTTATAATTCCTTTTTCCTATTATAGAACACAGGCCGATCAGCTGATTTCATTACTAATACTTATCATACGTTGTACAAAGATCGGATAAACTTTGTTCAACCATTACACGATCATTCTGAATTGTAATTATAATTATATTTCCGATTTTATCAAAAAGTGTACTTTTCATTCACAGAAAAAGTTTGATAGACAAAGCAAAAGAGGAATTCATCATCACCGAAACGAATGAAGAGCTTTTTTTCGACATGATTACATCGAAAAAAGGATTCTTCTTGATCAATATTATATCATTACATGTCGACGATTCTCAATTCAAATTAAGTGATGCCATACTTCAGGCTTTATTTCGTGGTATGCATTTCTGTTGGATTACATTCAATTTAAATTCTTTTTATTATTCAGAAGCAACTATGGACGAATCAGAAATAGCCGGTGTTCATGTACAAAAACTCAAACTAGCGATGGCCTGGAAGAGATTCGATTTGGTCGTTTCAGATATTCTCAATAGGAATAGAAAAATCCAATGGACCGTAAAATATCAATGTATAAATTCAACTATTGTTTCTATCTAAAATAACATGAACTAGGATTCTCAATTGGATAGTGCTCTGAGTGATGCACTTCGACATGATTCTGTTCAATTTGTTGAACTACTAGTTGAACAAGGGGCTTCATTTGATCGCTTGCGTCGAATAATTAAGATCAATGATTTATACAAAACTGTGAGTAAGTTTTCTAGATTTCAAATAAATTTACAAGTGTGAAACTTCATAGAAAACTGGCTTACCATTATCACGAAAAAGAAAAGCCACACTTAATGATAGACAACATGCGTATTATGAAGAATATTTAAACATAGATGCATCGACAACAACACCTCATACAGGTAAGTTGCAAATAAAAAATCGAAATTATGGAATTTTCTTCTCATAATTCTAGGCACCACTTACGGTTCCATCGTCGGTTGCTGTCACGAAGATATTGCTCTGAATGGTAAAGTGGTCTTTAACAAGAATGATGTTGTTCGTTGTAATGGCTATGTTATTCAAATCATTATTGGATTTCCACAAACGTACAACATGTTTGAATCATCATATAGTATCGCTCTTTATGTTATCTCTCCAACTATGCAATCTGATTCCTTTCAAATCCTTAATCATCGTCAAATAAATAGAGAAAATACTAAAACAAATACGAATGAATTCAAATTCGATCTACCTGATTCGACAATGTACCTTGAGTCAGGACAATATTTGGCTGTTGGCTTCAGAGAAGATAGTTCAGTCACACCAAAATGCTTTGTTGGGTCTCATTCTTATCATTCATTTAATCTCGATGCCATCAATAAAGCCTATTCGGACAACAAGACTATCGTATTCGACAAATGTAATCGGCTGAGTGTTGCCATCAGTTTTCAATTGGTTCCAACTTCAGGTAAAATCTCTGTAGAGAAAACCTAATACAGAGGAAAATAGCTTAAACGTGATGTAATGTTTCAATATGAAACGTTATTCAAGAGTATTGAAAACATTTGTTCTAATCAATGGATACATTGATATTGACGATGAAACTTGAAAAATAATACTTATTTTCACGCTTTAGAATACATTCGCGATATTTTTCTCTGGTCAGTATTTCTTGCACGTGATAACTTGGTCGTCTGTTTATGCTCCCACAGTCCGGTAATATACCTTTTATTCTTAAACAAACCTGTGAAATTATTTCGTGAAATAGAATACGACTGTTGCTGCTCTTTTGGCCAGTAAAATTTATCAAACAGCAATTCAATTGTCCCATGACACAGAGCAAAAGAAAGAATATACCAGAAAACAAAAGTAAATTAAATTCTATATATTTCAAAACATGATCAATTATGTATTTTAGAGAATTCGATCTTCATGCAGCTCGAATAATAGATAAATGTTGTAATCTGAATGAACAAGTCGCTCTTCAAGTATTGACTACAGAATCAAAATTTTATTTCGGCTACTCACCTTTCACATTGGCCACAGAAATGAATAGTCGATCATTTCTGGCTACTAAATGTGTGCAAAAGTATATTGATCAACTTTGGTATGGAGACATTGATCAGCATGGCTATCAACAAACCTACATTAATATTAATCTAATAGTACGTGACTTAAAATTGGACAGATGTTTACATATGAAACACTGTAGATGTTCTTTTTGTGCATATTTCCTTTTCTCGTGCCTTGTTCCTGCTTTCAAACAATACTCAAATCACCAACCAAAAAAAAAGAAGTGTAAGTTTATGAAGAAACTTATCTTCTTAAAATTCTTCTTGAATGATTCATAGAATCACATACGAGAAGAAGATAAACAAATGTCCTGGATTGTTTATTTGTAATCGGTTGAAGAATTTCTATCATGGAAGAGCCATTGTCAGATTTTACTACAACATTGTATGGACAACAATCTCTTGGAAATATAGATCAATGTCATATGTACTATTGTAGATATTTTATATCATATTTCTTGGTCTATTTAGTTTTATCATGCTTGTCAACTATTTTCCTTTCAACAACAATGGTGGAAAACGAAATGGATTGTCAATAGGTATTCCCGTCACAGAAATCATTCTTCATTTATGTCAATGGAGCTTGATTATCGAAGAGATTTGTGAGGTATCGCGTCTGTCTTTTTCCTCGATGAAGAGGATACAAGATTAGAACAATTTTCTGTCTGTACATAGTTTGAAATCTATCGTCAAAAGAAAATAAAGAATAACACTCGTAAACGACACATATTAGTATCCTATTTTCTCGAAGATCAATGGAATGTGCTCGATTTTATGGCTATTATTGTCTATCTGATCGGTTTTAGTACTCGATTCTTTGTTGTTGAATCCGTCTTTGTCGTATCAAAGTAAGCTTTAATAAGCGAAGATTTCTTATATTCGATATACGTTTGTTTTAGAGTTTTCATGTGCATCGATCTATTCTTATGGTATGTTCGTATTCTTCATTTATTTGCTGCCTCCGAACGGTTTGGACCGAAATTGTTGATGATATTTAACACAGTAAATGGCTCACATTTGTTACCTACTTGCAGGCATTCAGACTTTTTCTAGATGAAAGATTTAGTTTTCTTTATCTTTTTTATTCTCATTTTTCTTGTTGGCTATTCGATTAGTTCTTATGCATTGATCACCACCAAAGATCAGGTTATTTGGATTTCTACTAATGACAGTTCGCCATCACACGTCTACAATATCACTCAGAATGGATCGAATCTTTGGACATGGAGTCTTTTCAGAGATGTCCTCGATTGGGGCATATGGAAAGTATTCGGACAGGTTGAACTCATTGATCACGTGCAAGTAGGTTCTGCATTGAGTATAACAGGTGAGACAATGGTCAAAATGATCGATGATCAATTATTCTCATTTTTCCAATAGCTACCAATGATGCCTATGGTAATACGGCATTTGTTTTGACCATAATTTTTGTTTGCGTGGCTAGTGTACTTCTACTTAATGTACTCGTAGCTCTATTCAAGTAAATGAACTTGTTTTTTTTTCTTGCTAATTACTGCGTATGTTGACTATTATCTAGTGTAACACTAGCAAAAGTCGGAGAGAATGCGCACGACGCTTGGGCATATCATCGATTTTTGCTCGTTCAAGAATATTCGACAAAGTCTCCGCTACCACCACCGATAAATATACTCTACTATGGATACAAATCCTTCCAATGGCTCTCTCAAGTTCTTCGATGTAATCAAGGTGAATAAATCTTGAATAAATTTTGTCATTCAAGTCCCACTAAAACAGAAAAATACGCGCAAGATGAACATATCGTGTTTCTACTATTAGCTTCCTGAGAAGAGTCTTTCTTCTCCAACTTCCCACATTCTTAAAAGTGCTTTGTGATTGAGACTAAGAGTAACTTGATACACAAAGCTTTAAAATCGAGCTCCTCCAAAAGGGAAATTTAGACTTAAATAATTATGCGAAAACCTCTGATCAAGTGGCCTTACTAACAGGCAAAATGAGAGTCTAATCAGCGAATGACTCTTGGAGCTTTCCGTTATGGGTGTAGCTATCAACTGTGCGTTCATTGGCTGAAATGTTATACATCTCGAGGCAAGAGTCTGGTTCTATATCATCTCCATGAAGAGGTTTCGTGTTGATGCCTGGGTTTACTACTTATATTCAAGTTTTCAGGATTCTGCACATACAGGTACTGAGTAGTTCCTTATGAATAAGCTTGATTTCAAAATGTATCGTATATCAAGTAGCCTATTTGCTCAAAGACTGGGTCCCTCAGTAAAAATTATTATTTTTCAAATTTTATCGATTCAAAACAACCTATTATTGAGTTATTTTTTTTCGAAATCTCGCATAACAAATCGAAGATTCATAGATTTACATCGGTCTGATATCACGTACCTCTTCGGAGATTCGAAATAATCGAACTTTTAGAATCATTGTGTAACGTAAATGAACAAGAACTTCTACGGTCAAGCATGATCAGCGAAGTCGACAACTGCCAACGCTACATGCATGTTTTGGCTTCCTCTAAGATTTCATGTCTTTCTGTTTAGTCGACACAATCGGTTCTCTTGATGAAAGCAGCAATCTCGATGCGAATGTACTGAATTTGATTGTGTTCAATGCATCTGACCGAATTATTCGTGATGGACAGATTGACAAGATCGCAATAAACTTTTGCAGAGCTCCTATAAAAACTGATGCTATTATTGAATTGTACAGTATTAGGGAGTCACAGAATGATCTTAACCATTTTTATGTCCGACGGTTGGATTCAATCATCACCAATATCAAACTCTCGAAAGGCATTCAGAAAGTAGCAATTAATGAAATCTCTTTGTCAGAAGGTGAATATCTTGGATTCAAATTTAGTCCGGATGCTGGGAGCCCGTTCACAATTGAGTGCACCAGCTACTATACCAAACATGCACTGGAGAACAATGAACAAGAGCGTAAGATTCTTTTTACAGAATGTAGCAATCACGGTATCTCGGTTAGTTTCTGTATCAAGAACCGTCCAGACACACAAAAATCATGCAGGCAAAAGATAACCCATGATAATACCGAAGAACAACTTTTGATGAAAATCGAGCAGAATGCTACAAAGATGAAGCAAAACCCATTGAGAAAAATAGAAAGTAGTAAAGATTAGATGAAAGAAAACGATTTGATCTTTTCTTAATCTTTTTTTAGAGCTAACCAAGTTTCAAGAGCATGATAATATGTTGCGCGAAAGTAGTATTGCTCAAGATCACTGGCAACATGAACTGAAACTCATCATGGAACAAGAACGAATCTATTTGAATGGACAAAAAAAGAACTCGTTCAAGAATTCTACCAATTGAATGAGAAACTCTAATACCGAGTTCTTGATGATCTGATTTGAAAAGAATAACAACGGTGGTTTCTTATCATTTAATAAATTTTTAGTTACGGAAAAGGGACTCTGTAACAGTAGTTAAACCTTATGATGGACAGCGTTACTAGTAAAGATTTATATTATAAAACATTCGACATGCAACAGATGTTGCCTTTACAAGTACGTAAACAAATGGATTGATATTTCTTCGCTATGCTCTATGTTGCCAGGAGACGTTTTGTTAACAGAGTTGATTCATACATCAGGCTGTATTGGATGAAGAAAAAAATCGAATTTTTGTTTTGTTTTCATTTCTTTTACATCCAACAAATCATTTTGCACTCTATCACACACACTCAGATAACATACAAATACCAAANGAGCATGATAATATGTTGCGCGAAAGTAGTATTGCTCAAGATCACTGGCAACATGAACTGAAACTCATCATGGAACAAGAACGAATCTATTTGAATGGACAAAAAAAGAACTCGTTCAACAATTCTACCAATTGAATGAGAAACTCTAATACCGAGTTCTTGATGATCTGATTTGAAAAGAATAACAACGGTGGTTTCTTATCATTTAATAAAATTTTAGTTACAGAAAAGGGACTCTGTAACAGTAGTTAAACCTTATGATGGACAGCGTTACTAGTAAAGATTTATATTATAAAACATTCGACATGCAACAAATGTCGCCTTTTACAAGTACGTAAAAAAATGGATTGATATTTCTTCGCTATGCTCTATGTTGCCAGGAGACGTTTTGTTAACAGAGTTGATTCATACATCAGGCTGTATTGGATGAAGAAAAAAATCGAATTTTTGTTCTGTTTTCATTTCTTTTACATCCAACAAATCATTTTGCACTCTATCACACACACTCAGATAACATACAAATACCAAAAAAAAAAACAAGATGAATTTAGAATTGTTACCCAATGAGATTTTATTGGATCTATTCGATTATTTCGATGGTATTGATCTTCTTCGTGCATTTTATGGTCTCAATTTTCGCTTTAATTTTCTTCTCGACAATCAATTTCGAGCGTATCGTTTTAACTTCTCTTTTGTGTCAAAACATGATTTCGATATGATTTGTCAACAACATCTACCACGTGTTGCCGATCGAGTTGTTTGTCTTAGTCTTTTTGAGCATGAAGAAACTCCAAAGCAAATTAATCTATTTCTTTCTTATCTTCCATCATTTGATAAATTTATTCAATTGCGATCATTTTCACTTTATGGTATTCGATCATATAAAAGACTAGTAAAAATTACCCATGAATGTTATCATCTTTGTAATCTAACACATTTAAATTTCTACAATTGTTCTTTAGAAGATAATCAAGTTGATTTTCAATTACTTGTCAACAACATTTGGAGTTTGTCCAAACTTGTTCACTGTAATTTTAGTATTGATATCAAAGGGGAAAAGTTTTTTCATACACCAACAAAAAAATCCATATCTCTCAAACGTCTGTCTATATATGGAAGTGCACTGAAATTGAAAGAGATATACCGATTGTTTGAATACACTGATCGTCTTAAAAGTCTTTCGATAAATGTCGAATTCGATGATAATAATAATGATATACTATCTCCTTTTCCAACATTAATTGAATTATACATCATTTGTTATCATCGAACAGTCACCTCGAAAATGATTTCTTTATTGCAAAACACACCTAATTTACGCCGTTTGAACGTTAGTTTATGGTCTAATTTCATCGATGGCCATCAATGGGAACAAATCATTCGTAACTACTTGCCAGAGCTCAAAATATTTCGACTCGAAATGGGAGAGACAATACCTTTCGATCAAAATATAGAAGAACGAGTCGATGAACTGATTAATTCATTTCGAAGTTCATTTTGGATTGATGAACATCAATGGTTTATTCGATGTATTATTCAAACGAGAACTATTCACCTTTACACTTTATCTAAAGTATTTTCTAACTACAACAGTGTGATTCTTGACTCATTTAGATCAACTGAGCCACATGACAATCAACAAAAGTATTACAATAAAATGACTAGTATTGTAAATGAAACATTCTTTGACCAACCGATTCCCTCGTACATTCTTTTGCCTAATATTGAATATCTTTGGATAACACTTCCTATAAATAATCAGTTTTGGTCGATTGTTCCAAGTTTGAATCGTCTAAACTCACTTACATTAGTGTCCTATATTGATACTTTCCAATCTCAATTAAAAGCTTTACTTGATCGAGCACCTTGTCTTCGTCGACTCTGCGTCATTCAAGATGCATCGCTACATTCACAAATGTTATTATTCCGATACACAAATCCATCAATTCGTCAACTTGATTTACGAGACTATAATCATTATTTCAATAAGGAAGAATGTATTAGACTGAGTCATTCATCATTAGGTAGTCAGTGTGAGGTTCTTTCTATCATGATTAATAATCGTGAAAGTATTATTTATTTTGTCAAAAAAATGATCAATCTCCGCTCATTAAATGTTCGATGTGAAGATGAAAAGTACCATAAACGATTAGCAATAGTCAAGAAGGGCAATAATAAATATTCTGACGAAAGAGTGCAAAACAAAGATGATCTTATTCAATGGTTAAAACACCATTTGCCATCAACATGCTTGATCGTAAGAAATCCAGACTTGGTTAACTATATTCTTATTTGGATTTGATAAAAGGAAAATGAAGTACATAATAAATCTAAGTCTATTTAATAAAAATAAATTAAAATGGACTAACATTTCATATGATTCATTTTGTAAATAAGATCTATGTAAAGTGAATGATTTTTTAGTTGTTTGTTTTTTTAATGATAGATCGATAGTTTGAAACGAGTATTAATTAATATAGAGCGGTGGTCCTAATTCTATTTGATCTATAACTCGACTTGTTGACGACATACAGAGCTAGTTTTTAGTTTCCGGCGTAGAAGAAATATTTCTGCATTGATTGATTTGTGTTAGATCGAGGCTATGTCTTTTTCATCCTAATTCTATCATTATATTGTAAAATGACAGTTCTTGTTAGAAGAAATGCAATATTAATAAAGAAAACGATCTCTTAATCAATTGACAAAGATACTAATCGATTCGTCTCATTTCGGAGTATCGATTGGTATCTTAATCACGTTCAACTGATATCATCTGAAAGCGCTGAAAAACAGCCTCTTCTTGATATGAATTGAGCATAAAAAACGGGTAACTCTACTCATGAAACTGTTGTGAATATTTTATTCCAAACTTTCATTGGTTCTCTACATGTAATGTCTGCTATTTCTAGGACCGTATTTTAATATAGAAAATGAAGCCTTTTTTCTTTTGATGGGAGTATCCTTCTGATTGATTCTAGAAGAACTTTTGTTTGATTCTTGCATGTTTTCAATTTAGAAGATCTTTGAATAGCCGGTGAATGACGAACAGCATCACTCACTTTCATCTCCTTTTACGGAAATGTTCTAATTTGCGTTTTATGTGAACAAGATTTGTTTGCTTGAATTTCAAGGATACCATGGAAGTACGTCTGTGATCTAAGAGATGAACGATGCACGAGTAGTCTATATTTCAGCATCTTTCTTCTTTGATCTGAGATTTTCGAAGGTTTCAAAAAAAGGGACAGCGGACGATTGATACCAAAATCAGCCCTATTTTGAAAACCATTCGGTTCATCAGTTCTTCTATGAAAATCATGCTTCGCCTTGCAATGTTATGCTATTCTTCACTCCTTGGGCAACTTTTGGGGACACTTTATACTGTAATAAGAGATATATTCCTAAGCGTTCTTACAGTGAAATTATTCTGCAAACAGTGCCATATGGGTGTGGGTGTGGAGATTGGGACAAAAAAATGGCCCACGCGCGCACCGACACGACATCCACACATACTCACACGCTCATTCTCATTTATATACCATTCGACATAGCGGAGAAAGGGCTACAAAATTATGTAAGGTGCTCTCAGAGCAAAATATTGACCCTCCCCCGCCCTCTACATTTTTACATGATTGGATAGAGCTGGTCGAGCTGACTAAGAATATCATGCAACCGTCAAATCGCAACTTGTCATTTGTATTCGTCATCAACAGCTATGGACTCATTACTGTTAGCCAATAACATTCCACGCTTGAGTGTAGTTATTCAGGTGGTGGGTACGCACAGAGACGTACAGCATTTCATTGCTTACCGCCAATACTTGCCAATATTCCGTCATCGAATTTTACTCGCGAAATGAACTGAATTTTTTCCCACTAGCTAGCAAACCAGATGATTTCACAGCCTGCATGGTTCGAAACTGTCGCATTTATAGCGCCATATCGACTCTGGTCTTGGGCCAGATTTGGCAGAATAAGAAAGCAATCCGTGATATTCTCATATTGACCTGGAGTACATATATTACCGTTGCGTTCATTGCCAATCCTCCGTCTTTTGGTCACATCCATTGTGCTTAAGAGCTCGGCATCCCTCTATACGTGGTCTTCGTCATGCCGTGGACGACAGCAGCCCGGTATTGGATGTGGATGTGGACACAAGGAGGAACGAAGCTAACACCCACCGACACCCACACCTTCAATTCAGATTACTTTTGGCGGAACAATATAAAAAGTCTTTATTTTCCGCGAAAATCTTTTTTTAGTGAAAAAATCAAGCATCGAATTTCTAGAAGCTGATTACAGATTTTAATCCCTAGAAGGTGATTGCCTTCGATAGTACTTTATACGACATGGCTATACAAGTACATCTGAACACGTGACTTAGCACCTGCGAACGAACACACATGTGAACGAATTGTATGTCAGGTCATTTTCCATTTAATCGAGGGAATAAGATGCAATCAGAATTTTAAGGATTAATAATTTTGTGTTATTGTATCAGAATAATCTTTAACACTTCCAACCCAGATAACATCCGCCACAATCTTTAGAGCCTGGATATTTTGGCAAACCCGTGGGATCCATACATAGTTCGTCCTTGCCAAACGAAAAATAACCATTATTAACACATTGAATATCGCCATATTTACAGCAGCATTTTTTATTAAAAATATGACAACATGCTTGTCGTTTTTGTCTGACGAGTGTTTTTGTGTCATCTTCCATTGGAATTAGGAATTCTTCGAATCCTGACGCAAACACTTTTCCTCCAATTACTTGGTTTCCAATAGACAGATGAAAGACTGCACACTGTGACATTTCTAGTACAACGAGCACCAAGAATAGAGTTGACATAGCAGTAATTTGCATTCTATAATTTCGTTTGAATTGCGCACACTGAACCTTTGAGGTCTAGAAAAATAAATAAAAAGTAAATGACGAAGAAATAGGGTGTGGCTGTGGGCGTGGGTTTGACTAAAGAGCATAATTACATTCGCGCCCCGTAGCCACACGCAACTCACACGCTGGTATTTAAGATCTCACTACAGCTAAAATTTAATACTTATCATCAATTTTAATTTTATTATATTTACATTTATAAACAGGTTTGCGGATTTCTTGAATGGTTAGACAAAATAGCACTTGTGCATAATGTGTTACGATCAGAAAAGACTATGAGCTTTTATTAGCAGAGTTCTTGGTAGAACAACGGTATTCATTTGCTAGGACTACAACTATTAATACGAAAGACGCATTTCTGTGAAATTGGCATTATTATTTGAAGTTATAGTATCTAAATTACTGTTACTTTTGAGAGGGTAGATGCAATTATCTTATTACCTTTCGTTGATGGATATTAATTAAAGCTCAAAATGAGCACATTCTGATAGAGTCAGTATCTGAGTGTATCACAGAACACAGATATCAGTGTGGTTAGTGTTTCTATGAGTGTCAGTGCTGCAGTGAACGCCGTTAAGTGTAGACTGAATAATCAGTGGTCGTTAGTGTCGATGTCTTCACAGCGTTAGTAAAACCTATGTCTACATATTCAATGTTACAGTAGCTTCACTATTTGTAAATAACTGTCAATGTGTCAGTGTTTTCACTGTAACTGCACATCTTTAGAAAAGCTCAACCTGAATAGTAAATTAAAAGAGACTCCCAGATGAATAAGGTACGGTCAGCTTTGGCCAAAAAAACGTCAAAAAAAGATAGGAAATCAGGAAACAAGAATCTGCAGAATGAACTCAGTGGCCAGAATTTATCCGGTTCCGGCCAAAACCGATAAGAACCAGGTAAAATCGCCAATCGGATACGACCATCGGATTCCAGATTCGAAGTTCCTATCATTTTCCGATCGGAAATTCACGAATCGAGGCACCGGAATCGTCGACATGGATTGTTATTATCTTTGCGACTTCTATGAAAAGCTTGAAAAATCCGATCATTTGGTAATCGCATATTTTCACTAGTGAACAATCAACAAGCTGACTGCTTAAATACATATTTTTTACAATCATTAAGTTTCGTCGGAAATTTGTGTGTAGATGTTCTCTGCATCACATTCATAGGTATTTCCACATACACCCCTTCATTATGTTGCTCTTGTTTAATTTTTAGTGGAACAAACTGTGATTTATTTGTATACTTATCTCTTTCTCGAAGCTACTTACATAGGCTGTTCTTGGTTTTTACTCATCATAATGCTCTTAAATAGTGATTGATGTAGCTCAGATGATTTTCAAAAGAATGTCCAGATTATTTTTATTAGGAAGTGCAGTATATTTCTATTTCTATTAATTTCTGACTTATTGTGTTCATCCTGTTATATTTTCTGTTTTGTTGTGTATGATTCTATATTGTCTTTATGTTTCAAAAGCTTTTTAGGAAAAAATTTTAAAAAAATGACGCAATAACAACCGCATTTGTGTAAAGTAGAAATGATAAAATAAATAATGAGCGTAATGGTAGACAGAATTACGAAGAAATACCTAGATGTAAAGGACAGTACCAAGAAGTACAAAGAAGTGCAGTTGTCTCTCTTTGCTTCTGGCCAATACAAGTGCAATGATAATGTTTCGTTATGTTGTTTTTGACAATAACATTTTCTAGGTGATCCGCTAGAGGGAAATGGCGTAGTTCATGTAGACAAATGCATCATATTACTAAAGCATCTCACAGTATATAGAAGTAACTCAACATATGTAGAAGTAGTTCAAAGTACACTGAATTACTTTGAAAGTACGTCAAAGTACATCGAAGTATTTAGATATTTGAAACTTGGCAGTAGTTTAAAGTAGCTCAACGTATCTCCAAATAGTTCAAGCAGCTCAATGCAGTTTAAATTATCTTAAATTGTCACAAAGTAGTTAAAAGTAAGCTTTAGGCATCTTAATGCAGATCAAACTAACTTCAAGCACAACCGTACTCCATTTTCACCCTTGGGGATCCATTGCGGTGCAATGTCTCAGTGGTTTTGCCAAAGAGAAACATGATGATTTCCCACTCTCAACTACTTTCAACTGCCTGAAGTAGCATAAAATACCGTAAGGTATCTACTCTCTTGCAGTGCAGAATTGCTAGCGTCTTGAGTCAATTGCAATATTGAGTAAATTTTCTAAACTACTAGGTACTTTAATCAATGAAGAGAATTTACCGTTACGTTACCAAGTTTGACGAAACACTTTTCAGGTGGTAGAATCCGAATCCGTAATTAGTTTCTCAAAGTTCATTAGCTTAATTTATGGATAGAGGAAAAATATTAAGGAAAAGGATGATTTTTTTAAAGAGAAAGCGTGATATATTT